GTTTATTATGGTATGTCTTCATGATGGATCATCCCCTTAATCATTATATAGTGTCCTTCTTTATCTTTTATGGTGGATTTTGTTTTAAAGTCTACTTTATCTGAAAGTAGTATTGCCAGTCCTGCTCTATTTTGGTAGTCGTTAGCTTGATATAGTTTTTTCCAACCTTTGATTTTTAATAAATTCACGTCTTTGTTTCTAAGGTGCATCTCTTGTAGACAGCATATTGATGGATCCTGTTTTTTTTAATCCATTCTGTCACTCTCCACCTCTTTATGGGTGCACTGAGGCCATTTACATTCAGCATAATTACTGATAGATATGAGTTTATTGCTGTCATTTTGTAGTACTTTTTTTTGTGGTGCTGACATTTTCTTTGTTCCTCTTACTCTCCCGTGCTGAATTCCTTTTGTTTGTGGATTTGTTTTTCATTTCTTTTGTTTTTGTAGGTTTTGTTTTTACTGAGACTGTATGTTCTTCCTCTTTATTTGTATGAGTATGTTTTTTAACTTTCTTTGTGGTTACCGTGAAATCTACCCTTATCTTTCTAAGTTGGAAGCAGTCTGTTATTACTTGGTATCGCCTTGCCTTCCTCTCCATTAGAAGGTTCCATGCCTACATCATTTACTCCCTCTTTTATTGTTCTGATGTTGTTGTCATTTACTGATTACCTGCTCAGATTCCCTGTTGTATTTCTTTCGGTTTTGGATAGTCCTTAAGAGTTCATTTCCTAGATTGGTATCTGGCTGGTACGATCCTGCGTCCTAGATTCGGCCTGTGAGCTGAAGTTGTTTGTTCTCAGATCGAAGGACTCCCTTTAGTAATTCTTGTAAGAGGTGTGGTTTTTACATATTCCCTTAATTTCTGTTTATCTGGAAATGTCCTAATTTCACCATCATAGTTGAACGAGAGTTTTGCAAGATATATTATTCTTAGCTGGCAATTTACTTCTTTCAAGGTTTTATATACGTCATCACATTGCCTTCTTGCCTGCATGGTTTCTGCCGAATAATCTGAGCTTAGTATTACTGTTTCTCCTCAGTATGTGACTTCTTGTTTTTCACGAGCTGCTCCCAGGATTCTTTGTTTATCTTTGGCTTTGGCGAGTGTGATTATGACATGCCTTGGTGATTTTCTTCTGGGGTCTATCCTGTATGGAGTTCGTTGAGGTTCTTGGACAGCCAGTGAAAATGAACTTTTGTGGTTCTAAAGAAAAATATTTGCTTTAAAATCATCCTAAATAAAAGTTAAAAATTATAAATACTACTAATTTCATAGCATCTAACCTTAAGGAAAGTTTAAAATAGGCTAAAACGGGAAAATAAAATCAGAGTAAAATACCATATGTACCTTTAAAATGTGCTTGGTCTTCTTGGAAACAAATATATCGTTTAATACAATACTCCGGTCAAAATGATTGAGATACCACATGGACCAGACTCCTGATGTGTTCTCGTGAGTCTCTATGTGAAACTGGGCTGCAGCAGAGTCCATTCTGAAATACCTGTGAACAGTGGACACACATGCTATCAACCCTGGGAGTAAGAGAGCTGTCAGCACTCTGTTATTGTTGTTAGCTGTCACTGAGTCAATTCTAACTCACGGTGACCCCAGTGTGCAGAGGAGAACTGCTCCATAAGGTTTTCAAGGCTTTGACCTTTTGGAAACAGATCGCCAGACCTGTCTTTCGAGGCGCCTTTGGGTGGGTTTGACCTGCCAACCTTTCGGTTAATAATTGAGTGCTTAACTGTTTGTGCCACACAGGGACTCTGTCAGCACTCTAAGGAGTGTCTAACTAACTGCAAAAAGAAGATAAAAGTCATAAAATGTTAGTGTTGAAATGACCTTAGAGATCATCTGGTTCAACCTTCTTGCTCACACGTGGAGCAAATAAAGGCCAGAAGTGAAGCGACTCGCGTGGCCAGGTCAGCACACAGGGGCCACCAGCACAAAGCCAGAGGCAATTTGGACACACCAGGTAAGCATTTCCTCTAGTGCCCCTGGCCACCTCGCTGGGCTAGAACCTAATTCATGAGCGGAATTATTCTGCTTCCTCTTCCCTATTCTGCTCATAGCTCTTTCACTGCTTCTTAGCAATGCTAATGATGGGGAGGCAAATCCAGAGACAAAGAGAATCAGACAAGTTGCACCTGTTATATTTTTAAATCATCTCTAGAGAATATAATAATACGATTTCAGGGACGACAGAATTAACCTACCCTGGAACCACAGGAGAGGACAGGCATGCTTTTAGTGTTGGCGTGCTTTTTGTTTTCCTCACAACTTCCATATAATTCATTCCACTGTCACACAATGTGGCTGTTTTGGGGTAGAAAGAGATAAACGTGAAGCATAAGTACCTTCTCTTTTATTAAGCCTGAACAAAAACAAGACACATACTTTATAACTTGTTTCATTACTTCACTTTGCTGTCTCCATTAAAACAGTGCATTAAATATAAATGGTAAAATCCTTTTTCAAAAGCTCCTGTCTACCTTTCTTCTTTACTGGCTTCTTGTCAGTTATTTGGAACATTATGCCTACACTTAAAAAAAGAAACCTCTCATTTCTTCTCGGAGGGGGGAAGTGAAGAGTTAATACTTTGTGCCTTTTCCTTTATAAAGATCTGTCTTCACCATAAATAAGAGGAAAGTCCTGGGTCTGCCAGAGATGACAAAATAATTGAAGCTTGACTGGGTGGGATATAAAGGAGCATGTGGAGGCATGAGTAAGAAAGGAACACAACCTAAACAGTAAAAAGTTCAACAGCAAAAATGGGAATGCACTGCTGATTTATCAAAACAATACTCTACAGCTTTTCCAAATCTTGGTCATAATATAAAATCACTGGTATTGGATTTGTAACTCTTATCCTAATATCCATTTTTTTAAGCTATACAGTATATATGATTCACAAACCCTCAAACACTAACAAAAAAATGTGAAAATAAAGTCTACCTCTTACCCTTGCCTTCCAGTTCCCGAATTATCTTAGAGAGAAGAAACAACTTAGTTTCTTGGACATCCTTTCAGATGTTCTATGCTTATACAAGTACATAGAGAGATACGCTTTGAGAAAAACTAAATGTATGCACACTGCTTGCATTACATGCCCCTGTATTTTTCTGAACAGCTGTAGAGCACACGCCTGTGGGTGAATTACAGTTTAACCAGTCACCTATCAATGGGCAGTTAAGCTGTTCTGCTACCACTAAGATGTAGGAACATCTTTGAATACATATATATCTGTAGGCTTCATTATTAGGAGTTAGGATTAAGAATCAAAGAGCATATATGTGCATTTTTAATTTTCACAGAAATTGCTAATTTTCCCTCCAAAAAGCCAGCATCAAATTTTACTCCAAAGTGTTTCCCCCCATAATCGCTACCCAACATAGACTACTAGCAATCTTTCTGGGTTTTAGCACCTTAAGTACAAAATTGTATCTTGTTATTTTAATTTACAGTTTCTTTAAATATGAGTGAGACTGGGTATGTTTTCGTATGTTTAAAACCCATTTCCATTTCTTTACAAAACTCTCTTAACTATAAGAACCTCAAGATAGGACAGGGCTTGTATTCACTAATAGAAACTAACCACTCTAGCTGTGAAAACAGCACCTCCTCCAAACATAGTTACAGCCTGCTCTTTCAAATCACCAACGGAGTTAAACTTTAAATTCAAAATCCTACATATGCAGGAGAACAAAACTGGCATCCACAAGTGTTTCTGCCTCATACTGTCTTTTAGATTTATTAAGGATGCGATATTGAAACCAAATCCATTCATTTTCTTAAGACCATGTCTAATCCATAGCTGTAAGTCATCTTACAGAAAGGAGACTATCATAACGGCTAGGTAACAAAAATAAAAAGACAATCTTGAATTTTTTTTTTAAATCTGTACCTTTACAAGTAAAAGAGGCAATTTTTGTAAAGTTTGTTGTAGAAGTAGGTAGCAGTACTGGTTCAAACTTCAGAGACAGAGCATCTCTCTGTGAGAAATGATGTACATCCTGTAACAAAGAAGTACCCACATTACCTCAGCTGTGAGACTATGTACTCAGTCCAAGCGTCACAGATTGACACACATAACTGCTCAGCAGATGTGTCCATAACAGTATGAAAGGAGTACTGACAACTTTCACCCAAATACAGGTTCAAACAAGGGAAAATGGGTTTAAACTAAAGCAAAAGAGAATAGATTCAAGTGTTTCTGTATCTGTTCCTGAAAAATCTTCACCTTCTACCATTCAGTGCACACTTGTAATTTCAAAATTTACTTTATGTAAGCATTTGCAATTACCTGTATCCATATAAGGCTGTTTCCTGAATGCAGTATATACATATTTACGGCAGAATCATCTGTCCAAAAGAATGAGAGCAATCACATTAAAACAAAGAGCTATCTCATTCTCATCTCTTCATGTAGTAATTAAAACATCACACTACACATTTTCTATTAAAAAAAGTCACTCATTTTTCAACAATGAAATTAAAACCAAGAGACATTTTTTGTTGGGCATTCTTTTTAAATCACAAGAAAAATATCCTTACAAGAAGATTTCCATGCCAACACAGGCTATCCAAATGATGAAAAACTACCAGTAGAGAAATTCACAGTCTAGGGGCATGATACCATCCCTCTCTGGACAGCTCCAAATAAAGTGACATTTTCCTAGCGGTTAGACAGCCCTCATTTCCTTATTCAGACAATCACACTTGGGAAGAATAAAACCCTGGGATCTCAAAATACAAGTTTCCTTTTAACTCACAACAACAAACATGTTCCCCATGGGACAAGAACCTTCCTACATCATTGTCCATCTGGCCATAACAGAATTACCAAAAAACAAACACCTGAGACAGGAAAGCTCTCCTGCTGACCCATGACTACAACAGCCAATTCTGAGGAATGGGAAGTAAATAAAGCTTGACTGACAATGAACACTGATAATGTAAAACTGTACTTCTGATATGATTTCTTCCTCTCAACACAAATATACATATATATACACACACATTCACACACTGGAACAGTCTTGATAACCAATGAATAGTAGCAAATCCTGCATTTTAAATTTCATGGATCAGGTAATATGTGTCTCCTACAAGAGTTCTTAGAATGTTAAAGAAGTAAAGCAGGTTATGGTAGGACACATATTTTCAAAGATAAAGTTCACAGAAATGAACGTTAAAGTTCACACCACTCTAACTTGCCAGGTATCCAGGAACAATCAGCATCTAACTGACTATTGAAAGCACAAGATGGCATGATTTGGTCAACTGAGCATCTGCAAATCAGTACAACCAAGAGGTGGTCGTTGTTGTGTGCCCTTGAGTTGATTCTGATTCACAGCAACCCTACTGGGCAGAGTACAACCACCCATAGGGTTTCCTAGGCTATAACCTCTACAGGAGCAGATCACCAGGTCTTTTCTCCCGTGGAGCCACTGATGGGTTTGAACCACCAACCTTTCAGTTAGCAGCTGAGAGCTTAACCACTGTGCCACCAGGGTCCCTTAACCAAGAGGTACAAAGTTTAAATACTCTGTGAATATTTTTATTAGACTGTCATGCCCTTTTGTGTGTTTTTGTTATGTGCCATTGAATCGATTCCAACTCATAGTGACCCTATATGACAAAGTAGAACTGCCCCATAGGGTTTCCTAGGCTGTAATCTTTATGGTAGCAGATCCCAATGGAGCCACTAGTGGGTTTGAACTGCTGATCTTTTAGTTAGCAGAGTGCTTAACCACTGTACCACAGGTGTGTACTGTGTGTGCTACACCCCCAAAAAGCCAAAAAAAATTATCCCCAAGTAAACTCAGAATAGTTTGCACTTGCCTCCCAAAATAATACAGATGTATTAGCAGCTGCATACTGAGAAGCAGTTATTCTTACAATCTCTTAATAATGAAAGCAAAGCCTTTTGTCTTAGTTTGCTATGATACTACCTACAAATAAATGTTATAAAATGATGACGTAGGTTAATAAAAATACATTAGAATAAAAATTTCAAAGGATTCTACCTTACCTGAGGTCTCAGAATTGTCTATAGCTACATACACAATAGCGAGATGATCTAACAAATCTTGTGTGTTCTCTTCAAATTCTTTTGAGGAACTGTCCATTGTTACAATTATGCTCATCTGCAGCCGCAAAACATCATCAGATTCCAGATAACAACTCTGAGATTGGAGGGAGGAAAAAAATAAGGAAAAACTCATCTGAACTTTGTGGTTTCAATTTTTAGAAAAAGAAGACCACATAAGGTACGGGCGTGCATTATTTCTGAGAACAGAATGTTCTGTTTTGTTTTTATGATTTTATATAAAGAGGCAGCAAGGAAGGCAGGGAGAAAGCACTAGAATTATTTTACCTTTAATTGCTGACACACTTTATTATGTAAGCTGCATTCCAGTTGCACCTGCAAGAGGCTAGTATTAGCGGTTTCTGCCTAAAAGAAGAAAAAAGGGAAAAACAACTTAAAAAGGAAGCAAAAAGCTCAATCTAGTACTATTAGTAAACAATCCTTTGCTCAGAAACTACACGTATTCATTCATGCATTTATCTAGTCAACAAACACTTGCGCATCTGGCTAAATGCTGGGCATTATTCTATTTACTGGAAACACAACAGTGAACAAAACAGAAGAATCTGTGCTGTTGGTGAGCTTACATCCTAATGGAAATCATAAGCTCCTCCTTGGGTGATATGAAGACTCCTGTCATGGCAATAAGCAGGTAAATATACACAGGAACACTGTAGTTTTTGCATCTTTTACACTTGTTGAGCATTTTGTTTCAACATAGGAGTCTTTTGTTTTAAAGTAGGTTTACAGCCAAGTAGCTCTTCTTACGTGCGCCTTCCATCGGTAGAATGACCTTAGAGGTTGTGACTCCCAAGTCAGACCAAACCTCAAGAGATGTCCAAAACTAAACTGGCTATCATTTTTAATATCTGGAATATCTATGGATGTAAGAGACAGCAGTATATGAAAAGAATGCAGGGTTTCATCAAGTTCAAAGATCTTAACAGTCATATGGGGTAACACAGACGTTTCTTAAAGGGATACAGCCATTGGGTGGGAGGATGGGGCTGCAGACATGTCTGAATACCCAGAAAAGCAGTGCAACATGTGAATGGAAAGAATCTGGGCTATGAGATTTCCTCTTTCTTTAACCTTGAAGTCACTGGCATAGTGATTATTAAAAGGTGCTCAGCCTGATAGCCACAGTCAGAACATCAGGAAATCTCTGCAAGGTAAGAAGGCATCCCCAAAGCCTGGGCTGATGTAACTGTGCGTAAGCATCTATTAACCCCAGGAAGATTTAGCAGAATCACAATTATGTTTGTTAGATTTGTAAGAATTATCTAAGTACATTATATAAAAATACACTTTAACTACTCTGTCACTCAGCCAGTTAAAGAACAGAAAAAAAGAGAAAATATAGCGCATTTTTAAATGCTGCTAAAATACTTACAAAGTTTAATAAGCCTGTAAATAAAACCAAACATTAATCAAAGCCACTCTTAAAAACTAATTTGCTAGTTCTTCAAGAAGTTAAACAATGAATTACAAAACAGAATCCAGCAATACTACTCCCAGGTATATGCCCAGAAGAACTGAAAGCAGGGACTCAACCAAAGTTCACTGCAGCATTATTCACAATGGCCATAAGATGGCAACAACCCAAGTGTCCATTAACAGACGAGTGAGTAAAATGTGGTATATACATACAACAAAGTATTATTCAGCCATAAAGAAAAATGAAATTCTGATACATACTGCGATGACATGGATGAACCTTAAAAACTTTGTTGTGGGAAATGAGTCAGACAGAGAGGGGCAAATACTGTATGCTCTTACTAATATGAAATAACCAGGATAGGAAAATGGATAGACACCACAGTTCATTAGTGGTTACCAGGGACAGGTAGGAGATGGAGTAGCATTGCTTTAAGGTACTGAGTTCCTGTTGAGGTTGACAGAAAAATCTGGAAACGGATAGTGACGATAGGTGCACAGCATGGTAAACGGACTTACTGTCACTGAATTGTTCACATAAAAATAGTTGAAATGGCAAATGTTCCATTATATATATTTCACAATAATTCTTTTAAAAGTAATTGCTAGCATCTGCTAGATGAAAAGAGAGTAAGATTTGTAAATTGAATCTAAAAGAAGAACTAGATTTTTAAATCTGTCTTTTCTGTGCACAAATCCCACTATAAAAGACATAAAAAGAAAAGCCCACTACTCACTAAAACTGCTTCAAAATTACAAACGACCTTCACATCACCAGATCCAATAAACTTCTCATTTTGCTTGCTATCCTTCCCCCGTTTAACACCATCAACCACTCTTCTTTCTCTTGGTTTTTCCTCCTTCGTCTTTGGCTCCTCCATTGCTAGTTCTCTCTCCTCTAACCATCAGACATGGGATCTATTCTCCACTCTTTCCCAAGGACAGCTCTTTGGTAAGCTGCCCCTCACATTTATATCTCCAGTTCAGACCTCTGTGTAGACCCCCATATCTCCAACCAACAACTGGGCATCCACTGGAATCTTCACACTCCAAGCCAGCTGCACTTGCTGAGCGCCTCATCTTAGTAACAGTTGCCAAAGCCAGAAATCTGAATCTTTACTTCACCATGTCATTTATCCCCCTCAAACAAATTTATAATGAAGTTATACTGAGTATATCTCCTAAATAGCTCTTGAAATCTATTCACTTTTCTTCATTACTAATACCCTAGAGTTCAGACATCAGCAAACAATGGCCAGGGACCAAATCCAGTCCATTGTCTATTTTTATAAATAAAGTTTTACTGGTACACAGGCACACTCATTCCTTTATGTATTGTCTATGCCTGCTTTTGTGCTACAAAGGCAGAATTGTATAACTGCAACTTAGATCATATGGCCTGCAAAGCCAGAAATAATTATTCTCCAGCCCTTTACAGAAAAAGTTTATGGACTCCTACAGTAGTTTAAGCAAAAGAAAAAGGGAGGCAGGGACTGGTGCAATTCCTTTCTCCCAGTCTCCCTGTGTCCACCACCCCTGCCCTCTCCATACCATTCACCGCACTGCATTAAGAGGGAGCAAGAGCTGGCAACCAAACAAGAGTGCTCCTCTCATCCCTTCTATGCAATACTGTAATAGAAGTCCTAGCCACAGCAACAAGACAAGAAAAAAATAAAAGGTATCAAGATTAAAAAAGAAGTAAAATTATCTCTACTAGCAGATGATATGATCCTATATACAGAAGATCCCGAAGAGTCCACAAGAAAACTTCTAGAGCTAATAGAAGAATTTAGCAAAGTTGCAGGGTACAAGGTCAACAAACAAAAATCAGTTTGGTTCCTATACACCAGCAATGAGAAATCTGACAGAGAAATTAGGGAAACAATTCCATTTACAATAGCATCTAAGAGAATAAAATACCTAGGAATAAATCTAATCAGGGATGTGAAGGACTTACACAATGAAAACTATAAAACACTGCAGAAAGAGATTAAGGAAAACTTAAATAATGGAAAGATGTTCCATGTTCATGGATTGGAAGACTTAATGATGTCAATACTACCCAAAGCAACCCACAGATTCAACACAATCTTGATGAAAGTTCCGACAGTCTTCTCTATAGAAATAGGAAAACCAATCTCAACTTTATAAAGAACAGCAAGAGTCTCCAAATACTTAAAGCAATGTTGAAAGAGAAGAACAAAGTAGGAGGACTCACACTTCCTGATTTTAAACAATATTATACAGTTACAGTAATCAAAACAGCCTGGTATTGGTATAACAACAGACACACAGACCAATGGAATAGAATTGAGAGTCCAAAAATAAACCCACACACATCTATGGTCAACTGATTTTTGATAAGGGTGCTAAGTCCATTCAATGAGGAAAAAAAGAGTCTCTTCAATAAATGGTGCTGGGAAAATTGGATTTCCACATGCAGAAAAATGAAACAGGATTCAAGTCTCACACCATACACAAAAACAAATTCAAAACGGATTAGGGACCTAAATGTGCAAACTAAAACCACAAAATTCTTTGTTAAAAAAGCAGGGGCAATGCTATCAGGCCTAACTTTTAGTAATGGATTATCTAATATAATTAGAAAAGCACAAACAGTAAAAGACAAAATAAATAAATGGGACCTCATAGAAATTAAAGACTTATTCTCATCAAAAGACTTTACCAAAAAAGTAAAGACAAACTACGAACTGAAAGAATACCTTCAGAAACTATACATCCAACAAGAATCTAACAACCAAAATATATATAAAAACTTCAACAACTTAACAAGAAAAAGACAAATAATCCAATCATAAAATGAGCAAAGGACTTGAATAGATATTTCACCAAAGAGGATATTCAAATGGTCACCAAACACATGAAAACACACTCAATGTCGTTAGCCATCAGAGAGATGCAAACAAATCAAAATCACAATGAGATACCATTTCACTCCCACTAGGATGGCTAAGATTTAAAAAAAAACAAAATAACAAATGTTGGCAAGGATGTGAGGAAATTGGAACTCTTACTCATTACTGGTAGAAATGCAAATAGTACAGCTGTTGTCGAAAACAATGTGGCAGTTCCTCAAGAAACTAAAAATAGAACTACCATATGATCCAGCAATTCCCCTCCCAGCTATATACCCAAAAAACTTGAACGCAGGGACTTGTACACCAATGTTCATCGCAGCACTATTCACAATTGCCAAAAGGTGAAAATAACCTAAACGCCCATGGACAGATGAATGGATAAACAAAATGCGCTACACACATACAATGGAATAGTACTCAGCCAGTAGGAGAAATGAAGTCTTGATGCATGCCACAATAGGGATGGAGCTGGAAGACATTATGCTGAGGAAGTAAGTCAATCACAAAAGGACAAATATTATATGAACTCCTTTAGAGAAAACAGACAAGAAAAGTAAAGTGTATAGAGAACAAAGTTTATTAGTGGTTACCAGGGGTAGGAAGGAGCAGGAAATGGGGGATTAACGGTGATGGAAATACCGTGTTGATTAAGGGTAGAGTTGCACAGCTGATTATCGTAATCACTGTCAGTAAGTTGTACACCTGTAAAAAGCTGAACTGGCAGAAGATGTGTGATCAACAGATATATAACAATGACCAAAAAAAAAAAAAAAGAGTACCTACTGAGGCTTTTACATACAGTCAAAAACCTCATGGGATTTGGTTCTTGGTTTGGAGGTTTAGGGTCATGGTTTTGTGGGACATCTCAGTTACTGGCCTAATAACATGTTTAGTGCTTCTGTTAGTGGCACAGTGGTTAAGAGCTTGGCTGCTAATCAAAAGGTCAGCAGTTCGAATCCACCTGCTGCTCCTTGGAAACCCTATGGGGCAGTTCTACTCTGTTCCATAGGGTCACTGTGAGTCAGAATTGACTCAATAGCAATGGGCTTG